AGCACTTTGGCGTACTCCGCATCCTGGTAACATTGTCGCTACTGGTCCGCGACCACTTATTCGCCAGACCCAGGAGCCTGCTTATTTCGCAGCTAGCCTTCGCTGAAGGCCGTTCCACTATCCGCCACCTGTGGACGCGCCAGGTAGCCAGCAGCCAGGCTAACGGGTAACCCGCCTTCAACAACGTTCATCTTGACATGCAAGCGGTGCTTGAACCTTCGATTTTCGATCTCCGTCGCTGAAAAGGAGGCTAGGTAGAGCTTTCAAGATCCGCTACTGCCAATCGTCACGCGTAGATGGGTACCGTCAGTGACATCAGTGAGGCTGGCTAGATCAGGTATGATGACGACAACCGAAGCAAGTACAAGTACGAGGGCAGAACTCACCTGGTATTGTGAATTGACATTGTCTGGCCTGGTCGTCTCGACAATACCGGCCACCTTGTCAATTTTACAGGCCAGCCGTCCATTGGCAATGAAGCGCGACAACTCCGCGTCCAGGAATGGCATAGTCACCCCGAAGGTGGCAGCCATGCTCTCGAGGCTGAGACTACTGTAGGAGTCCAGGTGCTGACTGTAGGCACGGATGCGCATCTCACGAACGTAGAAGCGGGCATGCGGCGCGAAGTATCGATCCGAAAGCATGTACTGTTCCACAGCGGCTGGGGGCAGAAAAAGAAAAGCAAAATATCGACCAAACACATTAGCATAAATGACAGTCCGCAACTATATTAGAACGAACTGTGTGTATAATTCTTTTAAGGCGATTTTATTCGGAAGAAACCCAATCAATAGAGTTGGCCGAGGTACTTATATATCCCTAATTCCAGGATTATGCCTTACGGGAGTGGTGTCAATCGAGGTTTTATGCTTAGGTCATATCACAGGAAAGAAAAAATTAAAATCTAGGGCGTATGAAATCAGATAATGGCAGGAAATACTTATTTAAATGACCAAATGCTTGCGTGCGATAATCAAGAATACAATCATTAAGACACAAGAACTGCGCAAAAGTACTTGTAAGCAGGCGTGTAAACAAGTCGACATTCAGAGTTTAAAATAAAAACCGGAAAGACTGGCTTTCTTCCCATTTTTTTTAAATCTCACAATAATTTTTAATGCATTTGGAGAAATTATCTAGTACAATAAGCCGAAAAGCAACTGTACGTCACCGTAAAAAATTAAATTAAAAGGCAGCTCCATCTATAATTTGGTAAAACTAGGTTGCGTTCGAGATTGAATCCGTTAATCCTCCCGATTTCTGGTAGACATCCCAAAGACGGAAAATTTAATCGGACGAAGTGATGGGTTTTTTTGGCGTGACGTTAAAATACGTCTAGCGCAGTAAACCTGAGGAGCCATACGACGAAACACATAGTTCGCTCGAAACTGAACACTTTATGAAGATGTTCGAAAGACCTGCTTCGCCTTTGCAGGAGAAACTTAAGAGCAGATTAAGTGAAGTCCAGTGGGCTCTCAAATCGCCGATGCTGTGGCAGAAATGGTCTTTCAG